TATCAACATTTATGAGATCAATTATCAAAATTTGTATGACATTTATAACATGGAAAACTTACATTAGAAAAATTGAAAAGACCTCAAACAATGATTTGCCATAAGAAACCAGGAACAAAAGAAGAACAAAATAAGCAGAATAAAGAAATAAAAGATTGGAGTATTAATAATGAAATGGAAATTAGATAAACAATCAAGAACAGCAATAAATCTACAAGGTGGTTCTTTCAATTCAGTGGATAAAATTTTAGCTAGGACAATCTAGAAAAGAAAAGAAAAAACAGAAGTCAGTAAGAAGGCACAAATTACTGACCTCAAGAATTAAAGCAATGATTCACTGCAGATTTTAGAAACATCAAAGAATAATAAATGAAAATCATGGAAAAAAAAACTTCATGTCAATTTGGTTGAAAAATGACATAACATAAACAAATTCTTTGAAAAAAGACCAACTATAGTAGGGGATAGGAAAGGTAGCAGAATACAACAGTCGCTAATATGCCATTATGTAAAAATGTGAGTATGTAACAGATGTGATTCTGCAATCTGTATTTGGGGTAAAAATGGGAGTTCAAAACGCAATTGAGTCAAATGTATGAAAGATGATATATCATGAGCTCTGTAATGTTTTGAACAATCAATTAAAAAAAAAGAAAGAAAAAAGACCAACTACCAAGCTCAGAAAGTTGAAAAATAGGCAACAGAGACATCCTTGTATTATTTAAAACCTTTTCACATGGAAAACTGCAGACTTGGATGACTTTGACCAGTGAATTATATCAAACATCTAGGGAAGAAATAATACCTATGTTGCATACTTTTCCAGAAAATAGAAGACAGGGGAAAACGTCCTAATTCCATTTATGAGGACAGTAACATAGGCCAGATGCAAAACTAGACTAAGGTCATTACAAGAGAATACTATAGAACAATATAATCAATTCCAACAACATAAAATATAGAATGTATCATGACCAACTGAGGTTTATTCTAAGAATTCAGGGTCAATACAGCATTTTGGAACAAAAATTTACCAATTTAACTGACTAAAAAGACAATAAAACAAGTATTAATAGATGAAAAACAGGGAATACTTTCCCTCTGATAGCAGAATAGCCACACTCACTAATTCTGTTCAGTGTTGTTCTACAAGTCTTCAACAGTACAGTGATTCAAGAAAAAATGTATAAAGATTGGGAAAAATAAATAATACCATCTTTTTCATATAATCATAAATGAACATGGAAAATCTTAACCTACAAAAAAACTTAACTAAGCTCATCGTTGTTATAGGATACAAGGTCAACATACAAAAATCAGTTGTGATTTCTATTTAAAAGCAATGAATGATTGGAAATTAAAATTTAAACAAATTTATAGTAACATAAACTATCTAAGAGTCCCCAAATTTAACAAAATAGGTGCTAAATGAGCACTCTGAAAACTGAAAAAATTTGCTAAGAGAAAAATCTAGATAAATGGAGAGATGTACCATAGTTTGGATTTCAATATAACAAAGTTGGACCTTTTTCACCATCTGAATTCAACACAACACTCTAGTAACCAAGAGAACATAGAATCAGCATAAGGACAGTCTGCAAATAGACCAGTGCATGTCTGTTCAGTTGATTTTTTTTGACAAAAAAAAAAGAAATAGAAATTAGATAAACAGTGATAAGTTATATTTCATCAAAATTGTAAGCCTCTGCTCTTCAAAAATCTCTATTCAAAGAGTGATAAACCAAACCACAGATTAGAAGAATTTTGAAAAATTCTAGTTCGTGATTTCTAAAAGCCAAGTAGGAAGCCATCAATAAAAACTATGAACTGTAAACTTTTATTTATTTTAAATTTTATAAACAGTCCCATCTAGTCATGAAAGCAGATTAGTGGTTGCCCAGGGCTGGGGAGCAAAGGGATATAATAGAAACCTCTTTGGGTGTGGTGGATGTGATCTATATTTTAATTCTGGTACTTACACAATCATATATATTTTGTAAATATTATTGTGAAAACATGTTCATCTGTGTGCTTAATATGGACAACTTTCATTGTATATAAACCATGCCTCAATAAAACTTACTGAAAGAAGCAAACAAACAAAAGCATTTTCATCTAGGAAAGATATATTAGGATTTTTTAAAGACACTATCTCCTCAAAAAAATAACATCATGGCTATTACCTGGTTGACCTTCTATAATAGATCACTGTGCACATATAGTACATTCAATAAGAACATTAGATAGCTTTTTAAAAAGTTTGCATCCATGTTTTATTGGTTTGAAGATACATGTATGATGTTTTGTAGAATTCCAAAGTAAAATGTGGAGAATATGCCTATGTTATTATTAGGGAACTTTATATAAGGAAGCAACTTTAATTTTTATCACTTTAGGGTGCTAAAATTAAAGGCAGGGAGCAGGGGAGATGATGGTATTCTTTTTTAAATTACATCTGTACATTTTAAACACAATTACATTTTTCAATTTAAAGCATATAATAATAAAGTTTAAGAAAGTAGAATAAGTTACCTCTTTCTGAAGGGCTTCTCTTTTTAATATTACTATCATATGTAATCATTTATAGCGCTTATGCGTCTACTTTGTTTGAATATCTACCACATTTTATTTTAGTTGCTCGTTTGCATGACTGACTCTTCCTGTATTATAAACCCCTGGGAGTTGGGGCATGTCATATTCATCTTTGACGCTCTGGGACCATTAATTTATCAACACTTTATCAAGCATCTGCAAAATGCTAGCCACTGGTCAAGGTGTACACATATTTTTTAGTATGTAATAGAGAATTAAGAAATCTCAGTGCTTCTTAATTCCTGATTGATTTCAGATATGGAGGACATTGAATGAATCTACCACTTTCCCCTCTAACAAATGTTAAGAAACTAAAAAAACTCTGTAATATCTGTCCACTCATAATCGGGTTTAAAGTAGAATTTGGCTTTGCAATTTGAGTGTGAAAAGGGAGAGAGATGAAAAATTACATAAAAAGTCCAATTTAAATTGTTTTAAAAAGAAGCCATATGTTCTATATCTGATGTTCACTGCTCTCTCCCACATCCTTAAGACTATAATTTAAGATCATAAATCACAAACCTAGTAGAAATGAGGACTACCGACTTGCGGTAGAATTCACATTTTGGTAAAATTTAAATACATAAAACCTATCTGTCTCTGGATAGAGGGGGTCTAATCTTTATGAACCAGTGTGAATTTATGAATCAAAATAACTGTGAGAATGTTAACCCTGGAACATTAATGGCCTCCAACTCCACAGGTCAGGGAGCCCTAAAGAGGCCCACATCCCACTCACAGCCACTGTCGGTACCTCTGATCTCAGCTTCATGAATGGCATGCATTCGCAAAATGGAAACCAGCACCTGCCACAGCTCCCCTACAAGCGCTAGCACAGCCTCAGGTATGGATTCCATTGCCTGCTTTATAGTCCACACCCCATTTGCTGTCTCTGTGCCCTTGGGTAAATTAACCCCTGTGCCTCAGTTTCCCTATCTGTAAATTGAGAATAATGAAACCGTCCATCTCAGAGAGTTCTCTGAGGGTTAATGGATTAACAGCTGTGAATCTCCTTAAACTATCTCTGGCCATGAGAAATATTTGAGGGAGAAAAAATTATTCCCATGCCTGGAAAGCCTGCTGTGCCCCCCTCCATTTCTGCTGATGAGCAACCCCAAGGCCTGCAGGGGGGAGAGACTTGGGGCCGATTGAACCCATGCTCCGGTTAGCCTTGGTATTTTTTACCTCCTTCTTGGAACCTGGAGTGCCTTACCAGAAACGCAGACCAGAGAAACTTCTAAATGAAAATGTTCAGAGGAAGAAAATGTAAACGCATCTTCCCCATGCCAAATTTCTTCATTCTAGGATTCTGGGGCTGGGACTTTGTCACAAATTTGAGCAATGGTGTTATAAAACAGACTGACAAGGCTGTGAATCGCAACACTACATCAAGCTGGAGTCCTAAGCTGTTACACTTTTTTTTTTTTTTTTTTTTGCTTTGGGTTTTTACCCCATATGCTTAGCACTTCTGCAGACGTACTTTCATGCACTGAGATTTCTATTTCCCTGGGAAAAAAGTAACTGGGGTTTAAATCAGTCAGGATGCTGTCATCTTAGGGCAAGAGAGTTTGGGAATTAGTAGGGAGAGAGCCCCGGGAGGAAAATGTATGCTTCTCTCTACTCCCTTCCCTTTCCAGAATCTGCTTGTAATGGCATTATTCAAGCCTGTTTTGGTTTTTTCATTATGCTACAAGTCATCTAAGATAAGAACTATCCCTTATTTATTTTTTAATAATAAATGGCAACCATAAAGACAACAGGTGATGTTTACTCTGTGCCAGCTCTTATGCTGTGTCTTTTATATGTGTTGCCTTTTAAATACTTGCAGTTAATACTAGCTGTTACTTTTATTCCAGTTTAACAGAAGGGGAAGCTGAGACTTAAAAAGGAACATTAACTAGGTGAAGGTCATTCACATGGCTGGGGGTGTGGTCAGGTTTGGGATGAGGATTTGTCAAGTTTCAAAACACATGCCCTCATCAGGCAGGCATTTTGTGAGTCCCATATGAGATACAGGTGCTGAGGGCTCAACAAATGATTTTCCCTCCTTGGAAATAGCTTGACACAGCATAATTGAGAGAAGCATGCAGGGGAAGTATCCAGTAGGGGTATTCTCAATAGGTAGTGGGTATTCTCCATACTTAAAAAAATATATGCATACTTATGCATTTCTTTATATAATTTATTACTAAACTTCTAGCTTTTAGGTTGAAAAAGCATTTCAGAATAATGGGGCAACAGAAGGTATAATGTATCATAATTGCAAAGATGGTGGAGAAAACATTTTGAGCTTACTGGCCACATGATGCTGGTCTATGGTAAATAATTATGATGTCATGGGAGGGCCTAGACCTGTGGTCCAAAGGACTTGGGCTCATCATCTTTTGCTGCTTTGGTTTCATGACCATAAGAGTCCAGGGGTTCAGTTGATCTTGGTATGCTCACCTGTTGAATGGAGGTAATAATAGTGTCCTTTAAAATCGAGGATCATACCAGTTGGTATATATGAAAGCCTTGTAAGTCATGAGGATCCATCAGGTTCCATTTCCCCCTAGTTGCTAAGGCATTGGGAACAGTGTGGGGGTCTTGTCCTTACAGGCCATTTGATGAGCAGATGAGAGAAGTACAAGAGAGGTGTACAGGAAGGATGAGAAGAAGGATACTTCCCTGGAATGATGTAAGGCAGCAGCATGAGCCCTTCTTTGACTTCACAAGAGGCCCCTCTTCCAATCTGGCCAAGTGACAACTGGCAGTTTGATGGGGGAACAAGGAGTAGAAGAGAACACGGACTGATGCTACGTGGCTGAGAGGTGCCAGAGGACATTTAGCTCCAGAGAAGTGGAAGGTGGGTTTTTTCAAAGATTCCTAAAAGTGTGAAAGTACAAACGGAAGATTTGCCTAGGCACAGCTTTTACTACCTGGCAGGGACTCAAGGCTGTGTCCTTCAAAATTCACAGGTTGAAGTCCTAACCCCCAGGGGGATGATATTTGGAGATAAGACCTTTGGGAGGTGAATGGGAATGGCTGAGGTCATGAGGATGGGCACTTCATGATGGATCAGTGCCTTTATAAGACACTTGCTGTCTTTCTCTCGGCCACGTGAGGACTCAGTGAGAAGGCAGCAGTCTACCAGCTAGGAAGAGAGACTTCACCAGAACATGTTCATGCTGCACCCCGATCTTAGACTCCCCACCTCCAGCACTCTGAGGAAATACATTTTATTGTTTAAGCACCCCCAATTTATATTTTGATATGGTGGCCTGAGAGAGGACAAAGACACTGTAAGAATGTCAGGTAAATTTGGGAGAATATAATCAGCAAAAATATGGCGGACAGTCCATGGAAGACAGTCACTCGTTTGACAACCTGATCAACATGATTTTATCTCTTTTGTACTCAGGATCATCTCTTATATGGAAAGTCTCTCCTGTCCAGTTCCCTTTTCTGTTTTCCATTCCACTGCAAATATAACTTCCTTTATGTAGTTCAGATTTGTTCATTTTGGATTTTGAGTAAGAAAGAGTATTTTTAGACACCAGGTCTGCTAAGTCTGAATACTTAATACACTTCGAACCCTGTAGACGAGAGGCTTTGCCGACTACCTATAAGGGATTAGGTGTTGAAAAGATGACTTTTCATTTTAAAATCAAAGTGATGATAAGAGTAGAATGAACTAGCGGTTGTTTCACTTTTGGAATTAATAGTAAAAGAATTTGTTCCTGCCTTGGAAACAGTCTGTCTCGACAAGCAAAAATGTGATTAGTGCTTTCCACTTATTCCAATGACCCTCATTATTAGCTTGAGAACAATTATGTTTTCAAAAGGATACAGAAAAGTGCTGGTAAGACCGGTATATAAGAAATCAGCAAAATGATGGTAATGAAAGGGCAGTTCCTTGTGTGGAGGATATAAATTCACTTCCACTGTGTCTTCCTTCCAATGAATTAAAAAAAAAAAAAAGTAACTGGATGTCAGAATCTCAGGAGTGAGAAAAAAGAAGGCTTCAACTAAAATGTCCAGAGCCTCCACTGTGATAAGTTACTTCTGGCAGGTTGACACCCCTGATTGATCATGGCTTCAGAGCCACCTCCTTCTTGCCTGGAAACTTAACCTTCAGATTTTGGTAGCAATGAAGATTGACTTTGTGCTTCTCATGGCACAGTCAGAGTAATTCAAAGAGGAGAATTACAGATCTTACCCCATTGTGCTGCTAAGGAAACTGATTTAGAAACCTGTTTGCAGAGAGCCATTTTAACCATATTATGGTCCGAAATTGGACACTCTTTTTGAGACAGGATGAAATTTGATCCCTTTGTCAATGACAATAGAGGGTTCATTGCTCACACAATAGAAGCTTGCATGTGGTAGGTGATTCCTCAAAATTTCTCAGCAGTTATAAAGCAAACAAAATAAGCTCTAGGGTAATGTGATTGTGAGGAAACTCAAGATCATGTGCAGTATACACCTCTGCTTTCAGCAAAAAGCTCGATTTGACCATCACAAAAGTATACATCTCCTTCACTGTTTTTCTAATCAGATAGCTTTCCATATTGTACAGGTCAAGTTCATCCCTGACGGTAGGGCTACCGAAGGCCTCTAGAGGCTAGCTAATTGACCACATTGACTCTCAGCGGGGTCACTCATTTATCTTGCTGCATTTTAAGCCCAATTTCTTCTTGTGCATTCTTAGAATGGAAAACAAGTTAACTTTTCCTGTATTATAAATCCACTTGACCAGAAGGCAGTTCTAAAAGTAGCTTCATTGTTTTTCCTCTGTTTTTCGGGCTGAGTAATCCTAAATTCTGTAGGTAGCCCCAGCCCATGTTGGGACCTGATTTCTATCTCATAATTCACTCTTTGATGAACTGTAGCTTTCCGAGATCTTTCCAGTTTTAGTTGGGCCCAACCGAACTGTCATCATGAATGTATATCAACAATAAATATAAGTCTATTTTACCTGGAAGTTTCTCTCTAACTGGATTGCTTAGGCCCGGAGCCCCTTAAACCATTAACATTACTTCTTCTCCAAAAGCATCTCCTGGAAAGGAAGGGGAGTGGTTCATGAGGATCTGTGGTTGCAGATGAAATTTTTTCCACTAACTGGCTGGGAGCACCCTGCAGGAGAAGATAGGGTGGTGCTGTGCAGAGAGCTCTGGACTGCAGGTCAGCAGGCGGGATGTGGCACTTTCAACCTTGCTCCTCATCTATGGGGTGATCTTGGCCATGCACCTGAGTCCTGGATCTCTTGTCTGCATCAAAAAGATAGTAGCAAGAAGGTATTTCCAATCTTGCTCAGCTCTGAAATTTGTAATTCCACAAGTAATTATATGAAGCAGGGGTCTAAGAGAACATAATACAAATTATATTTGATAGCCCAAAGGGTTGGTGAAGGCTGTAGCAGAAGGCCATTTGTATTTAGCGGAGATGCAGGAGAGAAGATTGAGAGTCTGGGTATAGAATGAAGATGTGGGATGCCTGGTAATTGGGGAGGGTGGCCAGAGGAGGTTCCTGTTTTGTCCCGGGTTTCAGCAATGTTAAAGGTAATATCTGAACTCTTCTGTTTCCTTACATAAGGCCAGCTATGCTGAAATTGATCTCAATGATTCTAGACACATTTAGTGTTAACCTAATATATACCTTTGAGGAAAATCTTATTTGTTCCAGGTAAAATCATCTCCTCTAGAGTTGCCAAGTTGATAAATATCCTGGCAGAAAAGTTGATGACTCCCTATCAAGTCCTACAGTAAACCCAAGAGACAACTTGGAGGATTTATCTTTCCTTTAATTTCAAAAGACCTAATTCCAAAGACTCAGCACCTACAAAGCTTTTGAGGTCAGTGCTTTGGTTGGAGGTATCTAGAAGTGATAAAAGAGCCACAAATGAAGGAAACAAAAGCTGTCCTTGAACCTTAGATCAAATGAGTTAGCATTTCTTCAATAGTTAAAATCACTATTGCATAGGGTTAGATGTGTTCATTCTGGACTCACCCAAGCCTGTGTTGGACCCCTGATTCTCCCATTTAAAAGCAATGAGAGCTCAGGTAAGGGTGGAGGCTTTCTGATTTCTGTCTCTCCACAGCTATAAAATGGAGATAATAATAAAAGCTATCTCAGAGTTTTCATATAGGCTCAATAATTAAAAGTTCTAAGTTTAATATGTGCATATGGTAAATGCCCAATAAATGATGATGATGACGATGGCAATCCAGAAGCATACAAAAAGGCTTCTGAGTCAGGAGGCAAAGTCCTCAAAAATGCTTCCAATTTCTTGCTGGCTGCTGGTCGTGGTTCTTGGAAGAAAAGCTGGAATGTGGCAAATATAAATTTCACAGAAATAGGTAGAAAACTGCTTGGAGCCAGATTCCCAAGCCAGGCCTGTGTCTGATATTAAACTTTCCCTACAGACATATGAAGTATTATTACTATATATTGCTTTGAAAACAAAAGCTGAGACCAGTGTCCTCAAAGTTCCTTCAGGCTATGTTGATCGTCCAACCCATCCTGTCATTTTCTGATGGAATCATTGTTATGATTATTGGGAGGCAGAAGGCTGAGATTGGCCTGTTTACCAATGCTTTTATTTTTATAAACACCAGTAAAAAACAACAAAAAATTTCACAATAGTTGTGAATCCAGCCCTCTGTAGAGGAAGCCTTTAGAATTATAAGGGTCTTTAGGAAATGCAAATAATATGACATTTGATGCAAACCCATCAAAAATATTAAAGTGCTTTATCTAGGGAAGTCTAGTGATAAGCTGAAATATTGCATTATTGAATTGAACATGAATGTCTAACAATTGAACAGGACTGTCCATTCTTACTATAAATTTTGTTTCTGTCAATTCAAAATTCTTATTTACATTTTTTTTTATTTTTTAAAAATTTTGTGTACTTAAACAAGTTCAAGCCGCAAAAATGACATCTGTGTTTGTACAAGACAACAGACACCATTTGAATTTATTAATATGAAGCATTTTACACCTAGAAGAGATTCAAATAACCAATGCAGTAAGCAGATGGGAAAATATAATAAATAATCTGTCTTTCAATGACATTTATATCTTTTTCTCACTCAGCAATGGCAGACTAAATAGGCAAATGGACTTTTTTATAGTTATGGTCTAGGAAAGCTGATTTGAAGCTACTTTTATCAGAAACTCTTTTTTAAAAATATTGAATTGAGTATCGTCTCATCAAGTGATCTGCATCTTATGATGTAAAAGTTTTAAGCCATTTTAGGGGAAAAAACCCACTTAATTTATAAGGGTGTTCAAATATAAATAAAAATCAACAGTGTTTTCTGAAATGGAGAACATTTTTGTAAAAGTACTTCAACCTAAGATATTTAAATCTAAATTTTGCTTTCAGATCCACTTATTCTAATACACAAAGGAAAGATCTCAGAGGAGAAAACTGAAGGGGCTAGAAGTTTCCAGCTTAAAGGACAGGAAGTATTGGAAATTTTTAAATTAAAAATTTATTAGAAGTTTTTGAAAGTTTTGACAAAGAGAACGGAGACATATTGTTCTCTGCCTTCATTGACTTCAAACATACTTTAAAAACTTAAGAGCATAAAGGGTCTAGACATTCTCATGTGGAGGTCTTCATTGGAAAGAAGGTACCAGAGTTTTTAACCTGAGTTAAAGAGTTAGAAAGTCCTCAAAGAATTTAAAATCCTTTTATGACATCTTTTAAGATATGGCAGATTCTTTTCTATCAAGTTGGAGTGAGTTTTCAGGTGCGATTTCTTCAAATCCATTCCCACCCTTTTCAAACTCTTCTAGCTCAATTTGCTGTTGGCAAAAGATGTGGTTTCTTAAAAAAAGTGGCTTCAGTTCCATTCTTAGGAGAGGACTAGAGTATAATTCTTCCTTTATTTTTACTTTTACTGTGATCAGGGCCAAAGTCATGACTATCCTGCCAGATCTTTCAAATCCCACTGAAATCTGTCACAATCAAGACACATTACAGAGTGACTGCTTTTCTGGACCCTTTCGTCATATATTTTTTTCAGGATATATCTCATAAAAATATATCTGTCACTGATCATGGCTTTTTCCCCCCTAGTCTACAGATAATTTGAGATGAAGAGTCATCAACCAGGGACTAGGGAACTTCCTGTAGATCAGGTGACATGGTGCAGAAGATTCAAGGATTCAACCCGTAAGTGGTCAATCTGGATCCATATATCATTCTTCTTTCATTCAGCAGCTAACATAAAACAATTTTATGTAACTTTTTCAAAATGTTGCTTAATTCAAAGTGGGAGCTGTCATAATTTAGCACACGCCTTCTTTTCTGAAGGACGATGCGGTCACTCAATATATGTCTCAGGTCCCACTGTTCTTGGGTCATTCCATGTACTTCTGAATATGGTCCTTGGATATAAACATTATGAATCTTTCTGCTGGAGATATTTTTTTCTAATGGAGAGAGGAAAGGAGGAAAAATAGATAATAATGAAGGAACTGAACTTTTTCCACCAGAAAGCTATGTTGTATGTAAAATTGATCTTTGAATGGTTACCCAGGACAATGGGGGAGAGTGACAGGAACTGGACTGAGGTCTAGTGAGAAGCACTCTAAACTTCATAAAATTACAAACTGAGTGGTCATTGGAAAGAAACTAGAAGCTTTTTATAATGCATACTTTTTTGCAAAGAGGCCAAACACTCTTATAAGTACTGCTAAAACTCTTACAGGGAATGAGGGTTTCGATTTTAAAGGAAGATTTTCACCATTTACTTATCAAATTATTTAACCTTTCTATGCTTCATTTTTCAAAGTAAAATGAAGACCATTTTATATATATATATATATAATCTCCATAAGGCTGGTGGGAAGATGAAAGCCCATAATGTACATGAACACTGAATATGGCACCATGAGCAGAGCAAAGCCATTATTATACTAGAAAACATTTAGTGAAGAAGTAACTTTAGATAGAAACCAAAAACAGTGTCTGTGTTGTCATCTATATCATAACACATCAGGATAGTCTCTTCATAAAGCTGTTGGTTTCATAGTTTCATTTTAGTGATGGTAAAAATATCCATCAGATAAATATTTGCGAAACATTTTATGAGTTTACCTAGGATCATTTCTGACATTCCTTCCTTTGTACTATATTTACAGACATATATCATCATGATTTATTTATGTACAGAAATACAAATGCTCTCCTATTGCTTACTACTTAGCATTTCAGGGCTTTATCCCTGATAGTTGAGGTGGGAATTCACACTTTTGGAGGAGTTAATAGCTGATTCAAATGCAACCTCTATAAAGGACCCCAAGTTTCCTAGGAGAAGACAAATTACAAAATTACAGACCTCTAATCTATGAGAGAGAGAGAGAGAGAGAGAGAGAGAGAGAGAGAGAGAGAGAGAGAGAAAGTTTGTGTTTGGAGGGTCATGGAAATGTGGAGCCCATTTGATTTAAATTTATTTAATTTAATTAAATTTATTCAATTTAATGGGGGAGAGGGATGTGTCCAAATTTGAAGCCAATGTACCAAATAGCTTACCATTATTTCCTCACAGAGCTTCTTTTGATGAAATAGAATTAAAAACTCTTCTAAACACCTAATGAACTGATGGGGGATTTCATTTTTTTTTAATTTGGCTTCATCATCAACTAAAAATATATTGAATTGCAAGTCAAGTCCAAATTCCAACCAAGCCTCTTTACAAATATGAATCATTTCCTAATTTCTATGACAACCAACTTATGTTTCTGTTTCCCTGTGAGGCTCGAAATGACTTTGACCCAAATTGGGGCCATCTTTAACAACAATAATTTAAGCTATTCAAACTCCCTCATATAATTTGAGTTGCTAATCTGTCTTGTAAAAATTTAAAAATTATTCATAAGCTGAGGTCACCTGATTGTGAAGACCAAATTTTCCAAGAACAGACATTCCAATCTTACTGGGTTTTGTTCAAGAAGTTTTTTCCTGCACTGATCCATCTCTTCTTGTTCTTGAGACTTTTTAATACCTCCACTCACTAAACCCCCAGATCTTCCTTTTACGCTGTGATAGGCGAATTTATTCAGTTTAATCATATTTATTGGACATCTACTAGGCAGCAGGCTCTAGGCTCTATAGCACTTTTGAAAATATGTGAATGAAGTCAGAAACAGGTCCTGCCCTCACAGAGCACTTAGTCATAGGTAGATGAAGACCCATTAATGAGGCATTGTAGTTAAACAAGGTAAGGGCTCTGCTAGGGACAGTATCGTGCCATGGCAGTGCCCCTCAAGTTCCTTGATGAGGTGGCATGGATGCCTGAGTAGAAAGACTTCTCCCGCTGCTTCTTATTTTAAAACACAGCATGAAGGTGGAAGCAGCTCTATTTTTCTATTCTTGCTTACTGGCAGACTTCAGGGCCAAGGTGATGATCTTATGTCTGCCTGTGGTGGGTGGGCGAGGTGGGAGACCAGACTGCCACAGGAAGCCATCTTCTTTCTAAAATGATAATGGTCCCAACTTGTCAAATAGCTTGCCAAAAAAAAAAGTGCCATTTAAAAAAAAAATCCTGCTTGTCAACACTTCTTTAAACACAACCTCTGAAGAAGAGATCACCGAGTTTGGCTCAGCCTTATTTTGGACTAACAAAAAGATGTCTGGAACTAGCCAGACTCCAAGAGTCACTGACAGAGTATTTGAAAAGTTCATGGACCAAAGACACATCAATTTAAAAACTCCAAATTGATTGGCTTCTCATTTCTTTTGAGCCGTCTTCACTTCTTGCTCTTTATCCCTATCTGAAACATCTGGAATTTTCTTATCACTTATATCCTCATCTTTCCCTCACTGGACATCTCCATCTGTGGAAAAGCCACAACAAGAAGAACCCAACAGTATGAGCCAATGTGTCATGGCACACCTGCTAGAACACAACATGAAAAAGTTTGGCCTGTGTTTGAACACTTAAGACTGTCCTACAGTAAGTCTCCCTTCTTGAGCCTCAGTTTCCCCATATGTATGCATAGAAAAATCTCAAGAGTTGTATATTTACTCCCTTACCAGGGTTTTCTGTCCTTAAAATGTCTAAGTCACACATTTGCCATCCTTTGTGTCAGAACAGATTTTTGCCTGTTGTCTCTATGGTTTTATCTTATGAAGGTAAACTCTGGGTAAGGTTGACATGGGATCACGTAGCTGCTGTCCTGTACAGTGGAGGCTGCAGATTGTCCTGTGATATCTATACTTCTCTCCTCCCAAGTTTTAGCCAGGCGTAAGCCCACTTGGCATAAAGAAAACATCCCCAGCTTCCCTTGAAGGTCTCACCAGGTCTGTAAGTCCTGACCGGTGAGAGTCATTCATTCAACAGACAGTTACTGTGCACTCCCTGTACACTGGGCTCTAGAGATCCTGCACTGAATAAAATTAAAACAAAATCCCAATAATCTCTGCTCTTCCCCATGGAGTTTATAGCCTATTGGAAGGACATAGGTAAGTTGAAAACATGATCTCAGGTGATGCCAGGTGCAAAGGAGGAAAAGGCACCAAGGCAGGAGGATGGAGAGCGACAGGGAGGCAGGTGTGGTCTCGCCACCCATGAATTCAAGTGCTCAATGAAGACTGGCCTGGGATTCAGGAATTCTTGGGGTGACTGATGGAAAGGGGGACAAAAACACACTGGGGTAACAGCTGAACAGATGTGGAGTAGTGAGCTGTGAGTATTGAGGTTTGGTTAGAAGCACCAAGTTCCCCCTCTTTACTCCTTCCATAGTGGTATAAAAGTGGGGGCAGGAGCAAAGCCATCCAGACCGTACAAATCTTTCCAGTGAAGCCTCCTGCAGCTGCCATGAGCAATAGGGGAAGGTGAGCACTCATGTCATAAATGCATCTGTCCCATGAAACAGCTTCCCCTAACTACCCTTAAACCATCTGTTAGGTGTCATTTTTCTTTTCATTCCTTATTCCTTTCTCCATCCTTATGCTTGGAAAAAAGATTTGATGGCAGGATTTCTAGCAGCCATCGGAATCATGAAGTGAGGATCAAATTTCAGGGAATGGGGGGAGCTTGGTGCCTGAGACTTTTAGACGACAGAGTCAAGGTGCTACTCCTAGACTAGCATGAGATGAGCACCTCATTTACTTCAGAGTAAAACTAAACTTCTTTCTTGTTTAAGTCACTACTAAAGATTTTTCTACATTCAGCAAATCTATTCTTATCAAATACCCTAGAGCCTGCAGGTACCAGACCTATCATTTATCCCCAGAATGTTTTATGTTGGGTTGGTAACGTACTGTGGTAGACAAGTAATTTGGCAGGCAAAAAAATCACTGGGATTATGTCATAAGGAGCATCTGAACTTCATGTTCCTGTTTAGAAAGATCAACATTCCTAACAGAAGAGCAAGTAGCAAGACCTAGAGGTGAGGGCACATGTGCCCAGTCTGAGGAGCTGGCCGTCTTGCTGGGAGTAGATTGTGAGTAGGGAAGCATGTTCCATGGGCTTGGGGAGACATCCACTGCTAAATTTGGCCTAAATTGGAGTTTCTGTCTTTACTTCCCCTTCACCCTGATTGCACTAGTCATTAAATAGCCCTGATTTTGCTCTTGGAACATTTGTCACATTTGTCCCTCTCCACGGCCTATGTCCTGCTCTCCTGGTCACTCCCTGTGTCAATGCACGGCCCTCCTGACTGACCCCACCCCTTGTCCTGTCTCGAGCCATCTCCCCCTCATCGCCTCTGGGGTAAAAGTGCCCAGAGGAAGACTTAAGTAGAAAGGAACAAAAAAAAAAAAAAAAAAAGAAAAGAAAAAAAATTGGCTCTGTTACCAAAACCAGCAACATTCTCTCACCTTGAACAATGATTTTTAATCTTTTTCTGAAGACGACATGATTTTGAGTAGAAGTTTGAGAAGAAATAAGCAGACAATTCAAAGCATAAATTTTTCCCTTCAGTATATGATTCGTTTCCAAATAGAATTGTTCACCGCCATCCCCAGACACTCAACATGCTCATGGATTCAGCAAACATGCACAGGTCCGTTGTGACATTGTTTTGTCCCGTTGCATTACATCTCTTAGGTCAGAATAGTTTCCCCTCCCTCTGCATCATGTCACACCTCCAAGTTCAACCTTTTATTATGACCCTAACACACTCAGTGTGGAAAAATGTAAGCTCTACATTTTACCTTCAAGTTCTGAACGTTGACCTACTATGTTGGTGGCCCACCCATGTGCCATAGCATACTCACCAGGAAGTATTAACCAAGAGGAGAGAACTCAAATCCCACAGCATGGCACATACATTCTCCATGACTTAGCCCCTCTTTGGTGCTCTTCTTCATTAGCATTGCCCTCCAGAGGAACTGAGTGGCTTGATGCTATTCTGTACTCCACCTTTATGTCTTTACAGTTTAGCTGAGTCTACTTGTCTGCCTAGAATG